TCAGACTCTTCAAAATAATTATACAATACTAATTCTAAACGGAAACTGGAGGCACAGAGCCTATGGCGGTGTCTCCGGCTTCTCCAGAGGTAGGACTGGACGCTCAGGTCTCCACTGCATGCCGACGGGTTTGAGAGAGCGTAATCCATCCAAGCCATGCGAAAATCTGCACAACTGAGTCATGGGACAGTGGAGCTAAGTGATATCGCGTGCTTTTAAATCTGAAAGAACAGTCATGATTTAATGATTTGAAAGTCACACATTTAACATGTGGATTCACAGTCCTAGGACTTAAACCATGACAGCTTGTGCTTCTGAGGTGCGCCGAGTTCCTGTGTGGCTTTCCTTGACTGTATTCATGGAACCTTCATGCATGAGGCTACGTAGAACCCTGAGTCTCAAAGGGAGAGCTTGGTCCCACCAGGTCTCATTATTTTGTATTATATTTTGATAGTTTATTTTTCCTATTGCTTCTTCAGTTCCAGGTACTGAATAGAAGATTTACAAAAGATCTCGGTAATAGCCCTGGGGCGCCCGCTTCACGGGGCCTGCAGGGTGTCCTGGGAAGGGACTGTTTCCACAAGTGGAACACGCGGGCCCCCCGCTGTCCTCGCAGCCTGCACCTTTCTCCTCATTAAACCTTCAGAGAACACAAAGGAGCTGACAGCCCCTTTTCTCTCCATCTTCTAAAGAAGACTTTTCAGTATAAAAGGCGCCCTAAATCCTTTGTGGTGCCCGCCCACAAGCAGTGTGCGCTGACACAAAGCAACGCCACTGGCCGCTGACGCCTGCAGACAAGAGGCCGACTCCTGTCGTCGTCCTGGGTCCCGAGAACGGGAGTGACTTTGTGGACTGGCACGCGGACATGCGTGTGGGGCCCCTGGAGACACAGCAGCTGCGATGTGAGTGTCTCAGGCAGAGGTTCAGCTTTCCATCAGAGTTAAAGAAAAAACCTGTGAAGAAACTATTCAAGACATGCAAATGGAGGAGTTTCCCACGCACCCAGGGCAGGATGCTTGGTGAGGGGTGGCGGAGCCGTACAGCAAACACCCTTTGAGAGCCAAACGTGCTTGCCCTTTAACCTTTCCCCTTCAGGAGCGTACAGTGAGGGAATACTCGGGTAAACACAGAAACACCTGCAAAAATAACTCACACATTCGCCAGCAGGGAATCGATCAAACCAACCAGGCCCAGGCTGTGGAATGTTACGCAGCAGTAAAAATCATGAGGTGTGCACCTTCCGATGGGAAAGATGGACACGACCTGTCTCAGCAGGAGAAAGACAGCTGCAGAAGCTTCACACAATTTAGCCCGATTCCCACAAATAAACAGAAGAAAGAGCAGGAGGCAGACAGGTTTGCACCGACGGAGGAAGGAGCAGGAGGCAGACAGGTTTGCACCGACGGAGGAAGGCACTGAGACCCTGCTTCAGTCGGGCACGAGTCTCCCCCAGAGAGGGGAGGAGGCAGGCAGAGGACTTCACTTTCTATGTAGTCTTTGCCCACAGAGTTTGATGTTTTATAGTTTTCCTGTATAATTTCTGTCATCTGAAAGCCTGAAAAAAACAGCCAATTAAAAGCTGCCATTGGTGATGAGAAAGAACGAACAGTAGCCATGGATGGAGGAGGGGCGTCTTCAGAGTGGCCCCTGGCCCTGCACCTTCTGCCTCCGGTCAGGGCTGAGTCTCCTCAGCAGCTGAATATTTCCTACCTCAGGCAAACGGACACTAAGCTCCTGAGTCAGATAAAACAGTGACTCCCTGGAGGGCTGTGTGCCCAGCCCCTTTCCCCCTTCCCACCTGCTTTGCTCTTAGGAAAGTCACCAGAGGCTGGTTCATCTGGCTCATTCTAAGTTTGACTATTTGGGAATGTGGCTTTTACCAGCGTGCTATGCCCCGCCCGACAACACAGCCATTTGGTGGAGCGTGGAGTTCATTAGAAATACATTTTATTTGCTTGTAGCATAAATGTGGCTAAGGCTCAGCACACACAGAGATTCGCATATGTGTGCACATGCAGGCACACACACGTGTGCACACCCACCTCCCACGCACACACCCACACACGCGTGTGTGGCATGTGAACACACACACACACTCCTGCATGCAATCCTGCTCTATTAACAGGTTCTTGGGCTCTGCAGAGCTGACAGAGGCCGTGTTGGGTGTGGCAGGACAAGGCTGGGTGTGCAGGCGCCTCCTCCCCAGGGCACTGCTCACACGTCACAGCTGCCAGACGGAGGCTCCCCAGCGGCGACCCTCTGACAGGGGACTGTCTTCAGGGAGGAGTGGCTGTTTCCAACGTCCTCCCTGGTGCCCTGTGGCTGGCGGGACCCTCTCCCTCCCCATCCAAGCTCTGTTTTCATCTGAACGCAGCAGCCACAGCTAACACGCCAAGCGTGTCCTCCATGCTCCAGGGCCTCAGGTCTCGTCAGAGCAAATTCTTACTCAGTGTGCAGATGTGAAGTCAGGTTTTATTGAAGTATTTACACAGCTCATTCTTGCCACATGGAGGACATTCCACACACAATGACAGTTAAAGACAACTGCTGACCGCGGGGTCCTACGTCCCCTGCTCACCAGGCATCTGTTAGAAACAGCTGGGAGCTTGCCCCTCTACGTCCTCGGCTCCGCTGAACAGTGGCACACACGTCGCTGAGGGGAGTGCATCCCCTGGGCACACCTGATCCAGGCAGGAGGAACCAGTCCTTGGCTCCGCTGGACACTGGCACATGTGCAGCTGAGGGGAAAACGTCCCCGGGCACACCTGATGACTGATGACCTCCCACACCCAACCACCGACTGTCAACCACACAACCAGTGCCTGGTAACCGGCTGACACGACCGCTCCCGCCCACTTCCTCAACGTCCCCTCTGGGTCACAGCTCAGTGTCCGCACCTGGCCACTGACCCAACACCTTCAGTTACCACAAATCTTTGTTTCCTCAAAACCCTGAGAGTGGGTGGGGGATGCTCCCTTTTGTCCTTTTAAAGCCAGGCAAGGCTGGGGGTGGGTCTGTCCAAACTCTACAGGGGAGGAGCAGCTGAGGGGCTGCACTGAACCTGGGGTCTGCTGCGTCCACCTGCCTCCCTCTCGCTGCACTCCACACACTCAGCCGTCCTTTCCTGGGCACCTGGCCTGGGTCACTTGCTCCCCAGCATCAGTCTCTGATGGAGCCTTTGCGGCCCCCAGAAATGGTGGGTGAGTTGTTCTCTAGATCCTCTGACCGCCTCACCTGCGTCTCCAAACCAACCTCGGGTTCGTTCTCCCAGAAGTCCAGGGATGAGCTTGCTGCAGCAGAGAAGTGTGGCCAGCGTGGCCCAGGGGTGCAGGATGGGGCGTGGCTGGCAGGGCGTGCAGGACAGGCTGCAGACCGTTGGGGATTGAGGGGTCTCTGGACACACTGCTTTGCCGTCCTAAAAGCCCCTCTGTCTGGCCTCATTTTACGGGGGACGAGGATTTTGCAAACCAAGGTGATGCTGACAGGATGTGTGAGCTTCCCTGTGGCTGCCTCCTGGCATGGCTGTCCTGGCTTTTGGCACCGTGCTCCAGCTGGGGTCTGTGATGCCACCAATGCACGGGAACAAGATGTTCATTTTGAAGGGAAAAGCGGAGTCAAATGCACTCAGGACAACTGAGTCCTGCAGTCGAGGCACCTGGGCCAGGGCTGGGCAGCCTGCTGAGGTCCATTGAGCGCTGTGGGGACCAGGGTTTGGCACAGGCGTGGAGACTGCGCCCTGATGTCCCCACCCTTCTGCAGCCAGCTCAGCAATGTCCCCAGACACCCTCCCCACGTCTGCAAATAACCCTTCGCCTGAAGGAACAGCCGCTAGGGTTGCTGAGCGCCAGCTCTGGGGAGGAGGGCTTGAAACAGTTTTATATGTTGTTAAAATAATTCTCCATTTGGACAGAAATGATTCTAAGATTATTTTTGTTAAAAAGAGAATAGGTTTCCAGTTCCCACCCAGCTGTATCCTGCGCTCCACATAACGCCATCACCAGAGACCTGCAGGCCTGGCTGCAGCTAGCCTGGGGCTGAGCGTCCGGCTCTGTCGCTCCCACAGGGCGGCAGGTGACCTCCTGAGGCAGAGCCAGGGCTGCTGAGGGTCCCACGAACAACTGTGTGGAGACGCCGCCTCCTGCATGAACTTGCTTTCCTGGTCTGATGGTCTCCTCAGCCCACCTTCCTTGGGGAGGCAGAACAGCTCTGTGGAAAAAGTTGGGTGGGG